GGGGGCGGAGTTGGGGCGGGGACTTTGGGGAAGGGGTTGGAATGGGGCGTGGCAGGGGCAGGAGGAGGTGGGGCAGAGGTGGACTCGGGGTGGGGCCGGGAACAGGTGGAGGGGGGGCGAGCACCCCCTGGCACCAGGTGAAATTGGCGCTTATGGACAAGAGCCAGCTCTCTGCGGGAGATGGGGCCCACACACTGGGCATTGAGAGCCTAGAGCCATCTGTGTATGGGGGAGAGGTGCTGTGGACACAGCCAAGAGCAGGTGTGAGCACTGTCCACTCTGCAGCATGATGAGTGAGATGGGCATCCCACTGCTAAGTGTCCACCCTGCCCAGGGGAAGCTCCACAGAGGTTTTGCTGAGCCCAAACTTGTATGAGGAGGGAAGAAATTGGCAGCAAGTCTCAACAGCAGCCAGCCTCTACCCTGCACCCTGGGGATGAGTCAGGTGTCTCTGGGCAGAAATCTGGGGGGTTATGACCCTGCATGCCCCACCCTCCCTCTGTTCAGCAATTCCGGATATGAAGGGTGATTCCAGAAATGAAGAGTAATTTGGGGGGGGAAATGCAGTAATAGCAGCAATTTCTGGAAAACACTGGTCCTAGTCATAACCTTAAATACGATAGTCTCAAGATGTATGCCTGTGTTCATCAGATCTGTCACTCTGCCTTCACGTACTTCACTCTGCTGGTGCGTTCTACCCCTTCCCTCATTCTGTGTCTGTCTTATCTATTTAGATTGTAAATTCTTCAGGGCATGGGCCATCTAATATTGTATGTTTGTATGGTGCCTTCCACAACGGGGACCCACTCTTTGTTGGCCCTTATGCACTAAGATAATGAATATGATTTATAATAATAATAACTCTCCTGCCACTTTGAGCCACGGAAGCTGGCTTTGGGATGTTACAGCTTAAAAATGGTCTGGGTTAAAACTATGGAATATTCTTTGTGACAAGTACCCCACAAATTCCATGGACCTCCGTTGTTTTCTTTGCCTTGAGCAGGGTTTCCAGTTTCCAAACCTGATGTAATCTCACAGCTGGAACAAGGGGAAGAGCCGTGGGTCCCAGATCTCCAGGGCTCTGAGAAAGAAGTGCTCCCAAGAGCTGCCTGCACTGGTGAGGAATGGGTTAAACCAACTCAAAAACTATATGTGAATACAGGAAACATTTGGGATGCCCTACAAAGACCTTGTGAGCTCTCCAAGTTTAGAATTGTTCTCAGCAAGTGTGGAATCATTATGGCAGATGTCACTCATGGCTTCCCACCTATCCTGACTGACAACTGGCAGCACATCCCTCCCCGATCTTGCGTTCCCCTGAGTGTCCTGGTGAGATGTGGACCAAAACTGATCCCTTCCTCTCTCCTCTGGGGAAGGGTTTTGGGAAAATCAGCTCCTGATAGGCTTGATCTCTCCTGCACATATTTTGGTTTGTTCATCCCTTTTTCCATTCCTCTCTCTGAGATTTCTTTTCTCTCCGGCACAGGGAGTGACCTATGTCTGGATCCTCTCTCTCTCCCATCGGGTGATGGGAGGGTGAGTGAGAACGAGGAGAAACCCCAGCAGGAAGGTGCTGAGCAAATAGAAGCACATGGGACGTTATCAGGAAGATCCAAAGGGAACGATTCCAGGAGTTGTGCACTGCCAGCAAAAGCAAAAACCTCTGAGAGTCAGCACAGGCCAGAGGAAAACTTCAGTAGCCACTCAGACCTTATTAAATGTGAAAGAATTAACTTGGAAGAGACACGCTACACATGCCATGAGTGTGGGAAAAGCTTCAATGTGAGCTCAGACCTTCTCACACATCAGCGAATCCACAGAGGAGAGACGCCCTACACATGCTCTGAGTGTGGGAAAAGCTTCAGTTATAGCTCGCACCTTATTATACATCAGAGAATCCACACTGGAGAGACACCCTACACGTGCTCTGAGTGCGGGAAAAGCTTCAGTCAGAGCTCAAACCTTATCACACATTACAGAATCCACACTGGCATGTCACCCTACAGATGTTCTGAGTGTGGGAAAAGCTTCAGTCATAGATCAGCCCTTATTAGACACCAGGGAATCCACACTGGAGAGACACCCTACACGTGCTCTGAGTGTGGGAAAACCTTCAGGCTTAGCTCAGCCCTTACCATACATTGGAAAATCCACAGTGGAGAGACACCCTACACATGCAATAACTGCGGGAAAAGCTTCAGTCATAGCTCAGCCCTTATTAGACACCGGCGAATCCACACGGGTGAGATGCCCTACATATGCTCTGAGTGTAGGAAACCCTTCAGGCATAGCTCAGCCCTTACCATACATTGGAGAATCCACAGCGGAGAGAGACCCTACACGTGCAATAACTGCGGGAAAAGCTTCAGGCATAGCTCAGCCCTTATTAGACATCAGAAAATCCACATGGGCGAGAACTGTAACAAATGCCTTGACTAGGGCTGGCCAAAGATTTTTTTTTTTTTTTTAATCACATTTGCTAATTCCCACATAGTGATCTCTGCACCATTTTCACCGTGGTGTCTCAGCTCCCCCAGATGAGTTGCCTGCTTCTGCCTTTTGCAGCTCACCCTTCTTTAGGGTCAGTCCTGTGATCTTTTCTATCCACTCCTTTCCTTTTGCGTCATAGGAGCGTGTGACCCTCCAGCCAGGAATGTTCATCAGCTCCAGGTGGGAGAGAGAGGTTTGATCCCAACAAGCTACACTGAGGCAAAAACTACCTGTGCCTTACATCCACTAGGACTGTACATGGCATTGGCTGCTCAAGTTAGTGATCTTGGTGTAAAAAGACAATTATAGTTGTAGTGCAGATGCAGCCCATGTGCAGTGGTTGGCATTAGCTTTCCCCTTGACCTGACCTAAACTCCATGACTTTTCCTAGTCTAAACAAACCCTGAGCATCACGGTTATACTGTTCCCCCAGTTCAAAGCAATTGTTAGTCATCAAGTTTCCCCTTCAGGAACAAATTATCTCATTCCCAGTTGCTCTGATGTTGCTTCAGGTTGTGCTGGAGAGCAGATATTTCTACCACCATTTTCCTCACTTAAAATATATTGAACTATAACAAAGAGCAGGAACAGGGCAAGGATAGGAAAAAATGTCATTTCACCCTCTGTAACAACAGAAGAAGATAGGGTACGTCAGAGGGATTTCCTTATTCCCCATCACCATCCCAATCCCCCTGTTGTTCAATTGGTTAGGTCAATATTTTTTCTAAATGGCTGGGAAGAGGATTCCCTAGTAAATGACTTGCAACTAAGCAAAATATCCATGCATTTGCCTCCCAAAGCAGTTGTGGCCCAGGCCCTGCAGGAGGTCGCCCCTGAAGATATCTCCTTCCTAATCAGGTGCGTGTTGCCTATTATTTGGGAAATGCAATCTCTAGCTAGGTAGGGATGGGAAAAATGGAAGTGACATTTCTGTTCAGCTCACCCCTGGGAGGAGATGCTGCAAATGTGTAGAAAATGAAATCCGTGTTGAGTGTGATACAGCTGCAGAAAGAAACCTATTTTTAATAGATACCTGACATTTGGTGTCTTACAGGGTTTCTAAACCACACCTGAATTTAGTCCCTAATTTAAATCTGTGCCACCAGATTAAAGAAATAAAAGGGCATATTTGGGGAGTTATACATCACTATCGCTATTGATATGTTGGGTGGTTGGTGAAGAATTCTACGCCAGAGAAGTGTAAAATTACTCCAAGTAAGGTCAAAGATTTGACAAGAACTCAGGTAGAAATTGCAGGTACGAGTGGTTGATTTTTCACCCCAGAGATGGAAGCTATGGTGACTGTGGCCCAGGTAAACTATTTTTAGAATAAAGAACAGGAGTACTTGTGGCATCTTAGAGACTAACAAATTTATTAGAGCATAAGCTTTCGTGGACTACAGCCCACTTCTTCGGATGCATGTGAGAGAAATAGCATGTACGAGAATAGAGACCCAATATAGACTGTTGTTATTTCTATTTCAAATGGAATTTATTTTGATAAACTTTAAAATAAATTTTCTGTTAAGAGGAAAATTGCTTGAGATAAGATGTGTAACCTTTTACTCGGTTAGAGGGTAACAACCACAGAGTTCCCCAATTCGCTTTTTTGCTAAGCAAAGACACATCAGCCAGGAGAGGTCCGAATTTAAAATGGTGATGGATGCAGGATGATTTATTTTTGCAACTAGTTATTTTTATGGGTGTTGAGGCCCCTTTTCCTTTGGAGGAGGCCAGCTGTTAGAGCCCAGCCATTTAACCCTCAGGCCTGGCCATGGAAACCTCCCCATAACTGGCCTTATGTTTCTTTCATGTTTGATACCTTTGGGGTTCGCACGTCCACACTACATGCGGTTTATGACACCAGATATTTTGAGAAAACTGCTGGGTTAAGCGGGGCTATTCCAAACTGACATTGGCCCAAACTCTGCCTCATTTCAATTGGAGTGGGACACGTCTGTATCAAAGGATTAGTTCACACCTGATTTGCCCAGAGACCTCGGGGGAGGTGTAGTAAGGTGGGGTAAGCTGGAATCTACAACAATAAAGTTAAAGGTAAGGGTGGAAGTCCTTCAGTTTTCAGATCAACACGCCTGTTCTGTTCATTCCCTCTGGACCATCTGGCACTGGTCACTCTCAGGCAGCATACTGGGCTAGATGGACCATTGGTCTGACCTAGTATGACCAGTCTTGCGTTCTATCTTATGTAAGTCATCTAAGAGAGACTGACTGCCAGGATCCCAGGACTGATCCCCTCTGGGGAATGAAGCACAACAGCGACAGGCTATGCAGCCTTCACTAATCTCCCTGTACCTGAAAAGCCTGCAACCGGAAGTGCTGGACCATCTATGTCATTACCTGATTCCTAAACTGCAGCTACAGTTCCTACTCCATGTGAATCCAAAGACAAAGAGCTGCAGAGATCCAACCCCTTGTAATCTTTGAAATGTATTTTCCTTTTTCTATTTTTATCTGTTTTTTTATGAAGGTGGAGCCTTCCCAGCCTTTCTACTAGATTGGGGTGTAACAGTGTGGCTCAGTGGGGGTGAGTGTGTGAATGCCTCTGAAATCTACACAGGGAAAATGTTAGGACAAATAGTTCCCCAAATCTTAATAGCCTTAAAACTCTTCCCTATGAAATGACTGAATGCATGCTCCTCACCTATGGAAGCATTGCAAGGAATTGAGCTGTCTGATATAAATTGTTCAGTGAGAGCTATTTGAACATGTTACTAATGTCTCAATAAGGTCTGTATCTGTGTTTTGGGGTGAGAGGGTGATGAGAAGTATTAGCTACACAATAGTGAAATCTAAGGAGAAAACTAATTAGCTTTGAGGTTGTAGGCTAAATGTAAGCAATAATTTGGATTTGGTATTGAAATATTCAGCTGTCTAAATCTGGAATGCACTGCCTGGGTGAAAATCTCTGATTGGGGTTTCAGCATCACTAAATACGCACCTGCCTCCATGGGTTGCTGTTTTAGGATTTATAAGGGTTGATTTTCTGCTATATTTATCAGATGGTTTGACTAAATTGACGACTTGATTCCAATGCAATATCCTTGTTAACTGCCTGATTTACTGATTTGCCCTGAACTTTGTCACTGTATTGTTTAACCGTTAGTTAGCTGAGTAGTATTTATAGTCATTTAGCCTTACTGAAGTGTGTTGTTGGTTTTATTTGTTCATGTTAATAAAACATGTGTGACGCTCTGTACCTCAGGGAAACACCCAGCACCCCCTTGTTCATCCTTGTAAAATGATTGTGTGGTATCCAATGCAAAGTTTGTCACGTTGGGTGTCTTCGGAAGGTTCATGATGCACTGAGCATGGTTGTTAGTGATGTTATAGTAATTGTTACAGTAAGGTTATAGGTTGTAATTTCATGTATTTAGTTATGAGGCTGAAAATGTATCCTCATGGGTTAAAGCAAACCCAGGCAAAACTCTCCAAGAACAGAGAGGCAGTTCAGACCTCGTCAGGGCATGGATGGGACGAACCCAGCCCAGCCTCACAGGAACAATGGACACTGGTTTAGGCAGCAACAAAAGAATCTGTTAGACCCTTGAGGGAGTCACCCGCTTCCTTTGGGCAGTTTGGGACTGTGATGAGGTAATGCTCACCTGACTCTGAAAGGTGGGGGCAAAGCCAAGAGGAAAGAAAGGACATGATAAAAGGGAGAGACATCTGCCATGCTGGCTCGTTCTCTTCCACCTACATCTACAGACGCCACTACCATCAAGAGACTGAAACGCTTATCAAAGGGGAGAGCCTGACTGAAAAGTAACCAGCCAGCCTGTGGTGAGAAGCATCTAAGTTTTTAAGGACATTGAAAGTGTTAAAATCAGCTTAGAATGCGTTTTGCTTTTATTTCATTTGACCAAATCTGACTTGTGCTTTGACTTATAATCACTTTAAATCTATCTTTATAGTTAATAAATTTGTTTGTTTTTATTCTACCTGAAGCAGTGCATTTGGTTTGAAGCGTGTCAGAGAGTCCCCTTGGGATAACAAGCCTGGTAGATATCAATTTCTTTGTTAAATTGACAAACTCATATAAGCTTGCGGCATCCAGTGGGCATAACTGGACACTGCAAGACGGAGGTTCTTAGGGTTGTGTCATTCGCTTGCAAGTAGCTGGGAGCAGTTTACATACCAGAGGCTGTGCATGAACAGCCCAGGAGTGGGGGTTTTCACAGCAGAGCAGGGTAAGGCTGGCTCCCAGAGTCAAGGATTGGAGTGGACTAGCAGATCACCGGTTCAGATAACACCAGAGGGGAACGTCACAACATGTAACTGGGATATTGAGTCATTTCTTTCAATAAGCAACAGGAGCTGGAACAGTGGAGAATCTGAGTGGAGATCAACCACTCCACATCTGAGCCTTATCAGATTCCACTCAATTAATACTTTGTTTCCCAAAGTGGAACATCTATTTTAGCTCTAGCTGTGGCCAGGTGGGGAGGGACAGCTCAGACCATCACAAGGGAAATAAGCTCCCCTACCCAGGCTTTCAGAAATTTGGGGAGGGGGTGCAGTGTGTCTGAGTGAGGAGAGATCAGTAAGGTGGGGGTGGTCTGAGTAGGGATCAGGGGTCTTGCTCTGCAGTCACTGTCATGGCCATGCCCAATCCTTACCCCAGTCTGGTTTGCCCAGGGGTTGTGCCTCGTCAGGTCAAGACGGGGTTGCAGGTCTGGTTGGAAGGGCTGTAAAAGGTAGTGAACAGCTTGTAGATTTCAGCCAGCAGGGTGTTGGCAGAGTAAATGTGTGTGTGTTAATGCGACCTTGCTGAAAGAGGACAGGATGAAGGTGGTGCGGGCAACTGTAACTGCATCTCCTGCTTTTCAGAAGTTTGAGTTTTGCAGATATAGAGGTTCTGCAAGGGGCTGATATTGTACCAGCAAACCTTAACTCTGCATAAGGAAGTGTTTTGCCCTTTAATTAATACTGCCCCCTCAGTATTAACTGGGCTGTGAGGCTGACTCCAGAGCTAAATGCTTAGAAAGAAAACAATGAAAATATCCACTGTCCATGACTCATTTAAAACAAATCATGTCCCTCCTGTCTGCACAGGCAATGGTGAGAGGAAATAAAGCCAAGTGACTGAGGGCCATTCCTTCAGGGGAGAAATTTAACCACTTCCATTCTCTGTATCTTTATTTTAAAACTAAGTTCACAGAGAGAAAGTGGCAGATTTCTTTTCTCTCCAAGAGCCTGAGAGCAAACCCTGTTCGCCACATGACCTTTTTCTTTATATTTAACTCCTCCCCATTGGGCTGGATTACTGCTAGTAACAAACTCTCGCTCTACTCCCTTCAGCATCTCAATGTGGTTACGATTAGATGAGTAATGTCTGTCCTTTCCCCTTCAACCTGCCTCAGCTAGAGATAAGGAAGTTCTCCCTCACCAGGTTCCCTTGCCGTGTGTCTGTGTGTCCACCACCATCTGTCCTTCCACTGGCAATCTTCTCAGATCACTGCACAGGGAAGAGAG